CTTGGGTTTAAAGTTTGGATGTATGCTGTGTTGATTGAAAATCCTCCCGAGCTTTTTTGGATAGTTCTGCAATGTGTGGAATGGCAACATGGCTTCGTTTATTGTTCTCTTCTTTGTCTGTTATGGAGTCTACTTGTCTTTTGAAAAAGCACCTTTGGGACAACCATGACCTAGATGACTGAGAATCTCCATACACATTTAAGACGCGTTGCCACTTATTTTCCAAATACAATTCAATATATTGGCTTCCCTCTTCAAAGTGCTAACTAATTTAAAGCCTAAGTACCTTAGCGACCTCTCCAGACACTAAAATTGGAAGTAGAAATCTTTTTACAAACTCTGTTTGTCAGCAAGCAGGAAAATGCTTCGTCCTGAATTGTTTCTAAAGTTGCGGGGCTGTTGCCTTGTTTTCATTGCATTCAGATAAATCAAATCCATATCATTTGGACACCTTTTGGACCAGATCTTATTCTTAAAGAAGGTTTTGAGCTTTGCCTTCTACTTTTTTTTCCCGGTGATTTGTTTGATTAATTGGATTTACATCCCTCTTTCCCCCAGCAGGTCTATGTAGCTCTGTAGGATTCTGTCTTCCAATTATATATCCATAAAAAAAAAAAAAACCTTCAGAAGTAGGCTGGGATGAGAAACTGTGACTGGCATTAGATCATTCTTTTCTATTTTGTGCACTGTGTCTTTGCTTCTATTTGTGTCACTGCAACTTTGATGGTTTTGCCAAGCTGGAAAGCAGGATATAAATTAAATCAATCCATCAATAATAGGGATGCTTTTGGGAGATGCTGACAGAGAATTGCTCACATTAATGCTCTTTTTTTCCTAGAGACTTGAAAGCCCAGGCACCAATAGGCCAATTGTGCTTTTTTTTTGCAATGCAGACACAAGGACCAGAGAGAGGCCATTTAGGCTGGCTTTTGCTGAGAAAATAATTGCAACCATTACTCAGGGTGAAAACCAGCTTCTTACATAAAAAGTTCCTAGTTCATGGTTGTGAATAATAGGGGGTAGCAAAAAACAATTTCTGCCTTCAGACTGGAGAAATCTCTTAGCCTAGGCTGACCTCAAGAATTCTGACTGCATTCAGAAGCATGTGGACTAGAATCTTTGCACTTAAGAGGGGTCTGTGGTTCAGGAAAGATAACCTCTGCCTACATAACTTTGCTAGTTCAAATGGAGATACTTCCAGTTGAAAGAATTAATTATAGCATGTAATGTTCAGCAGGTTGGCCCGTATTTGGATAAGAGAGGGCTGGGAAGTCCATATATATATAGGGTACCCTACAAAATTGGTAAATTATCTAGAGATAGATACTATAGACTTGTATAAATTAAATTCCTTGTGTGTTCAACCATACTTGGCCAATAAAGGATTCTATTAGATAGATAGATAGATAGATAGATAGATAGATAGATAGATAGATAGATAGACAGACAGATAGACGGACAGACAGATAGTAGGCAGGCAGGCAGGCAGGCAGGCAGGCAGGCAAATGGACAGTTTGGTCTAGTGGTTATGACACTAGGCTAGAAAACAAGAGACCATGAGTTTAAGTCCCATTTTAGTCATGCAAGCCGACCGGATGATCTTGGTCTGGTCTCTCCCTCTGAACTCAACCCACCTCACCTCACAGGGTTGTTGTCATGTGGAAAATAGGAGGAGAAAAATGTTTTGGGTATGTTCCGCTGCCTTGAGTTATTCGTGAAAATAACGAAGGCGGGATATACAGTAAATAAATGAAAATAATTAAATGAAATAAGGCACGGGCAAACCCTCTCTCAAATACAGGGAATCTTCGACTTACAACCCTTCATTTAGTGACTGTTCAAAGGTACAACAGCAGTGGAAAAAGTCACTTCTAACCGGTCCTCACACCTACGCCTATCGCAGCATCCCCACAGTTACTTGATCAAAATTCGGGTGCGTGGCAACCAACGTGTATTTACCATGTTGCGGTGTACCACCAGGGTCATGCGATCGCCATTTGTGACCTCCCCAGCTGGCTTCCAACAAGCAAAGTCAATACTGGCCGGTTGCCAGAGTCACTTAATGACTACGCAATTCACTTCAACTGCAGTGATTTGCTTAACAATGCGACCAAAAAGGTGGTAAAAATGGGCAAACAATGGGAAGACCTGAAAGACCTGTTAAGAACAGATCATCATGGAGAATATTTATGTAGAATAGAATAGAATAGAATAGAATAGAATAGAATAGAGTAGAGTAGAGTAGAGTAGAGTAGAGTAGAATAGAATAGAAATTGGAATGAAAGAATAGAATAGAATAGAATAGAATAGAATAGAAATTGGAATGAAAGAATAGAATAGAATAGAATAGAATAGAATAGAATAGAATAGAATAGAAATTGGAATGAAAGAATAGAATAGAATTAGAATTAGAATAGAATAGAATAGAATAGAAATTGGAATAAAAGAATAGAATAGAATAGAATAGAATAGAATAGAATAGAATAGAATAGAATAGAATAGAATAGAATAGAATAGAATAGAATAGAAATTGGAATGAAAGAATAGAATAGAATAGAATAGAATAGAATAGAATAGAATAGAATAGAATAGAATAGAATAGAATAGAATAGAATAAAGTTGGAAGGGACCTTGGAGGTCTTCTAGTCCAGCCCCCTGCTCAAGCAGGAGAACCTATACCATCTCAGACAAATGATTGTCCAGTCTCTTCTTAAAACCCTCCAGTGATGTGGTCACTAGGAGTTGGAAATGACCTGATGACACATAATCCATCAGTCAACTGGATGACACCGAAAACCAAATCAAAGATGTAAGATATGATAATACAGGGAGAAACACATATTCTGGAAGCATCTATAAAATATGGGCAGTCCCTCTGTGCTTTTAAACCCTTTTTTAAAAGGAGATTGCAACAAGGAGTTTGCATCATACCCAGGATATTTCAAGCAAGCAGGATCCAAATCAAGACAATGAAATAAAAATTGAGATATAATTTAAAAAAAAAAAAAAAACTAACCCCCCCCAAATCCTACAAACCTTTGTAGCAGTAAGCATCAAATTTGGATGCTGGATCCGGGAAGCCAGTCCGGTTTGAGAATTGATAGGTGGTCCTTACACCAGGTTCCTCTCCGCCACATTTCTTCCGTGGGATTCGGATTGGATAGCGCACACTTCCGTCAGCCAGCCATCCTGGGTCACACTGGTTCAGTCCTTCCTGCCAGGCGAGATATAACTGCCCCGTGGTTGCCAGTTCAGCCCCTCGACTCAGGCAGTGCTTCTGGGCCATTTGAAAGGTCAGCCGACCTGGGCTGGTTGCGTAAAACACTTTTCCTGAAATCACAGGAAAAACATCATTAGGGTGGACCCAGGCAGGACATTACCCTACCTCTGGTTTTTCACTTGTATACTGGTAATCCTTGACTTACAACCACAACCAAATTTATGTCGTTAAGCAAGATGGTTGTTAAGTGAGTTTTGTCCCATTTTACGACTTTTCTTGCCCCAGTTGTTAAGTGAATCACTGCAGTTATTAAGTTAGTAACATGGTTGTGAAGTGAACCTGGCTTCCCCATTGACTTTATTTGTCAGGTCGCAAAAGAGGATCACACAAACACACACACACACACACAAACACACACACCAGGACACTGCAACCGTCATAAATATGCCGCAAGTTGCAAAGCATCCGAATTTTGATCGTGGAATTCTTCAATGGGTCCAAAGCGTGAAAACTGGTCATAAATCACTTTTTTTCAGTGCCGTTGTAACTTTGAGTGGTCACTAAAGGAACAGTTGTACGTTGAGGACTACCTATACATTTACACATAGTTTTGGAAACATCTAGCTTTTTCCTGCATTAAACATCTAAAAACAGGGGCAGCAAATGACTTTTACTTGGTTTTTGGTTCAGCGTATTGTGTGAAAAATGGATTGATTCAATACAGGTGATCTTCGACTTCATTTAGTCACCGTTCGAAGTTATAAAAGCACTGGAAAAAGTGACTTCTTTTGAATTCTTTTTTTTATTGGCTTATAGCAGTGGTGGCGAACCTATGGCATGCATGCCAGAGGCGGTACTCAGAGCCCTCTCTGTTGGCACGCATGCCACCACCACCACCAGCAGATCCATCTGGCCACCACCACCGCCCAGAGCAGGAGCCTCGCCCAGCACAAAGGAGGCAAAGTGGCCAACTAGCAAGCTCGAGTAAAGGTGGTAGAGCATTTCTTCCAGTCCACCATTGTCGATTGGTGGACTGGAAGAAAAGGCAGGGGGAAGCATTTTACATGCGTGCATGCGCACATGGGGCCACGAGCACGCACGCACTGCAAATGGGTTGGGGATAGTGCCTACTCACTAGCCCTGCCCCATTCTTGCGTGGTGCAGCACCTTGTATTTGCACCCAGCGGTACGGCAGTGGCCGTTTTTGCGCCTTGCAACATGGTGGTCCATTTTTGCACCCCCGATTTTTGCATGCCAGAGGCGGCACTCAGAGGCACCTCCCTGCCCCCCCCCGAAGGCACCACAATGCTGATGCGGCCCTGGCACTTTGCGATAAATAAGTGGGTTTTGGGTTGCGGTTTGGGCACTCGGTCTCTAAAAGGTTCACCATCACTGGCTTATAGTATAAAATACAAAAATACAAATAGTAGGAAACAAAGGGGAGGAGAAGGGAAAGAGAAAAATGTGGGGGGAAAGGAAAAAAAACCTTAACACCTTATTCTACCCTCTATTGCGGGTAGAATAAGGCATTAACATCAAACCTCAACTTTTTATTTCTCCATGGTATAAACTAGCCATTTCTACAACAATAAATCAATCAAATCAGTAAAACCCAAAATTAAAGTTTCATTTTTTTCCCCACCTCAAGCACAAAGTCCAGAAACAGTTTCCAGGTAGTGAAAAAAGTGACTTTTGATCGATTATTTTCACACTTTCACACACAGCATCTCCACGGTCACATAATCAAAATTTGGGCACTTGGCAACTGGCATGCACTTAGGACAGTTGCATTTGTAAACTTCCCAGCCGGCTTCCGACAAGCAGTCACTTGAGGGAGCCAGATTCGCTTAACAACCACATGATTCACTTAACAACCAGGGCAAGAAAGTTCATAAAATAGGGCACAATTCATTTAACAACTGTTTTGCTTAGCAATGGCTCAATTATGGTCGTAAGTCGAGGACTGCCTGTAAGCAAATTCAACTCTCTGCCGGATAGAAAAAAGTACTTTTATTGGAAAGGGTGGGGCTGTTTTCAAAGAGGCTGCCTCGGCTCTGGCTGTTTAGGTTAAATCTGTCTTTATTTTTGGTCTGTTCATCTTCAAAGAGGCAGCTGGGTATTAAGGAGAGAGAGAAAAAACTTCATTACTTAAGGAACAAAGCGCAGTGAAGATAAGTTGCCCAGCCTTCTTCTCTCCAGACATAGACAAGAGAAAAATAGCTAAGCAGCAGGCCGGTTTATCAAAGCCACCCGTCTTTCCGATCTTCCCCTCAAGGCTCTCGGGAGACAGAACAACAGTTTTGATGGCCTCTTTCATTTCATTAGGAACATTTTCCCCCAAAATGGCCGTGTCTGTTCCTTTTTGATGGGCGAAACAGAGAGGTCGATGCAAGCATCCTTCAGGATTCACTTCTGGTCAATGTGTGGGATTGTGTTGTCAGTGTCACCTGTTTCCAAATAAAGCTAGAGCAACATTTATCAGCCGGTCACAGACATTTTTTTGGGGATTGTAAATTTGCCTGCTGGCATCTCGAGAGCCCGAACAATGGTGAAAAGATCCAATTTCAGGTTTGAAAATGTGATTGATCGGTGGTAAATAAGAAAAGCTCTTGGCAACCTTTCATGGGTTTCAATGGCAAATCAATACACTAATGTTGCATTTAATTAGGGAGAACAAATGATAATTGCCAGGGAAGTGGATTAAGGACATCCTGCTCCGTGTTTGAAGACCGGGATAATTTTTTTTTACAGCTTTTCAATTCAAATGTGTTCCTGTACACTGTTATCATCATTTTTCATGAACAGCCTTTGTTTGCTGATTTCATTCCCTTGGAGGATGTTTTTCAAGATTTGAGGTTTCGGTGACATGTACAAGAATCAACATTTAAATCAGGGGTTGAATGAAAGAGCAGCTGATGATTCTGCATTCAACTTCATTTATTAAAAAAGATGTTGAGACTCTAGAAAGAGTACAGAGAAGAACAACAAAGATGATTAGGGGTCTGGAGGCTAAAGCATATAAGGAACGGCTGCTGGAATTGGGTATGTCTAGTTTAACGAAGAGAAGGACAAGGGGGGACATGATAGCAGTGTTCCAATATCTCAGGGGCTGTCCCAGAAACGAGGGAGTCAAGCTATTTTCCAAGGCTCCTGAAGGCAGGACAAGAAGCAATGGGTGGAAACTAAGCAAGGAGAGAAGCAACCTAGAACTAAGGAGAAACTTCCTGCCTCCAGAAGCGGTGAATGCTCCAACACTGGATGTTTTTAAGAAGAAACTGGACACCATTTGTCAGAAATGGTATAGGGTTTCCTGCCTGAGCAGGCGGTTGGACTAGATGACCTCCAAGGTCCCTTCCAACTTTATCATTATTATTGTTGTTGTTGTTGTTATTATTTCCAGACCTTATTCATTTTTTAAAAAGTTTTGATTCCAAGGATTTTTGTTGTTGTTGTTTAGTTTTGAAACTCACAGTTTTGGTTCTCAAGCTGTCTTTCTATTTTCCCCATCATCTTCTTCCCATTTCAAAGCTGGCTGAGGAATTCTGAGAGTTGAAGTCCACAAGTCTTAAAGTTGCCAAGGTTGAGAACCCCTGCTCAAGATGAAGCCAGCTTCAGTTCTTTTCCAACAATCAGCAACAAGCATTTCCAAGGAGCTTCTAAGAGAGTGGCATTTCATTTGCTTCTGGCAGGTATCATTCAATCAATCATCAGCCGTCTGCTCAAAATGGGTCCTTGAAGTCCATTTCGCTGCTTCCCAGAATGGCCAATAAGGTGTCTCTGAGAAGCCTCAACACTGTCCTAGCAGAGTGGCATTTAGAGTAAGATTGATAAATAGGGAGCAAACGTATGATAAAACTGCTTTCTACTTTTGTAAAAGAGCACAGGGCCATTTCTGTGAAAAACGTTTCAGGTTTATTCTGCTGTGTGTTTTAGCTTAGAACAGACATGTCAAACTCAAGGCCTATGGGCCAGATCCGGCCCGTGATGTGTTTAGACCTGGCCCAAAAGCAGACTAGGAGGAGGAGGAGGTGACTGAGTAGTTACCTCCTCACTCTTTGGGTGTCTTGCAGGGACAGCAGCCCTAGCAGAGAATGGGCAGTGGGAGCCTCTCCAACAGGTGAAGCTACGAGGCAGCAGTGACCGCAGGGGCGGAGGGGGGGGCAGGCATAGCTAAAGCGTCCGAGGGAAGGAAAGGGAGGGAAGGAAAGAGAACAGATGGAAGGTGTTTCTTCAGTTCTCACCCCTCCCTGCCTCGCTGCCTTTCCCTCCCCCTTTTCCTATCATCTGTGCTGCCCTTTCCCACAGGTAGCCGCTGGCATTGCAGACTCTTCCCCAAAGTCGTGAGGAAATGTGAGACGGGAGGTTCCCACGTAGGGGGGGGGAACCAATACAGTGGTGGGATTCGAATACCTGAACAATTGGTTCTCTTATTGGATGCAGGCCTAGGCCTCTGAGGCCTAGAACGGACTTCCGGAAGTGACATCCATGCACTTCTGGCAGGCCGTTCTAGGCCTCGGAGGCTTCCTCCTGGCTTCCGAGGCCTAGAACGGACTTCTGGAAGTGGCACCAATGTACTTCTGGAGGGCCATTCTAGGCCTGGGATGCCTCCTCCAGGCCTCTGAGACCTACACTGGATTTCCGGAAGCAGCGTGCATTCAGCCAGTTCTCCGAACTCAGCAAAATTTAGCTACCGGTTCTGCCAAACTGGTGCAAACTGGCTGAATCCCACCACTGGACCAATATGATACCCTTACATGCAACTGGCCCTTTGAGGACAAGTGTAATGCTGATGCGGCTCTCAATGAAATTGAGTTTGACACCCCTGGCTTTGAGCATGCAAATTCAAATAGTACAGTTTGTACTCCATTTACAACTGGTTATGACGGACCTCCCTGGGGATGGTTACAAACCAGTTCCGAAGGTTTGATGGCCACCATCCCCACAATCATATAACCACATGTTGGGTGCTCAGCAAATGGCCCGCACTAATGGCTGTTTGCAGCATCTCAGTCATGTGGCCACATTTTACAACATTTTTACCAAAAACCATCATTAACTTCTGCTTTTCAGCAAAAACCACTGGTTAGCTTAACAGCCACAGCATTTACTTAACGACCGCTGCAAAAAAGGTCATAAAGTTGGATCAGTTACCCAGGTGACCCCATTTATGACCATCACAACTTACAACTATGATGGGCAGGCTCCATTATGGTCATAATTTGAAGACTACCTGTAGGGCTAAAGAGGTAAATCAAAAGAAGCAACTGGTTTCAAAACCTGTAGGCAGGTGCTACATTTGCATTCCTGCAATCTTCAAAGCATGTCTTTCGGACAGAATCCCTCAGCCCTAATAATTAAATCAACAATATTTAATGAATTTAATGGAAATGAAACTCAGTTAATTCAGTTGGGGATTTTTTTTTCTTCCTAGCTCCACTCACTTTTTAGTCTCTGCCTACCTACCATTTAGCAGACAGCTTGTGGCCTGCTAACCTGGGGTGTTAGCTTTGCATATTTTATGCATTCTCTGCCTAAATTCCATCAATTGGAGTCCAGGGGATACAAAGCTAGAAATGGGAAAAAACATTTCACATTCAAAGTATGCCAAGCTTGAAATGCCCTATTTCACAGTCAAAAGAATTATTGAGAGTTTAAAATACAGATAATCCTCGACTTACAACAGTTCATTTAAGGACCGTTCAAAGTTACAACAGCACTGAAAAAAGTGACTTATGACTGTTTTTACACACTTACTGTACGAATACTGCAGCATCCCCATAATCATTTGATGAAAATTCAGATGCTTGGCAACTGGCATATATTTATGACAGTTGCAGTGTCCCGGGCCACGTGATCACCTTTTTCAACCTTCTGACAAGCAAAGTCAATGGGGAAGCCAAGTTCACTTAACAACTGTATTACTTAACAACTGTATTACTAACTTAACAACTGCATTGATTTGCTTAACAGGAAAGGCTGTAAAATGGGGCAAAACTCACTTAACAATGATCTTGCTTTGCAACAGAAAATTCAATGGTGGTCATAAGTTGAGGACCACCTGTATTGGAACATTTCCAGGAAAGTCAGAATCCCTGTTTTTAATCCTGAACATGGGATTCCAAGTGAGAAATGTTTTCATCTCTATTACACAACCCCACACAGATTCCAAATCCATTGGTGTACCAAGCACAATATTCTCTCCATTCCACCCCCCCAAAAAAAATAACCATGCATTTTGCCCCTGGAAAGAGTTCAGTAAATCCAGTATATTCTGCTCGTAACTTGCCTTGGAGTTCTCTGGAGAAGCAGTAGACATCGTATGCTTCTTTGACATCTCTCTTGCCATAGCTGCGGACCCCTGGGAGGCTGTTGCGATCTCCATAGCAACCAGGTCTTGACAGGGTGATGGGATACCTGTATGAGGACCAAGGGGAGGGGGAGTGGAATGGAGGGAAGAAAAAAGATGCAGCTGCTTTAAACTCCATCACTAAGGCTTCTTTCAGCCACGAGGGAAAGCCATACCATAAAGACATCAGGAAAAGTATGGGTGTCCATCCCTAAGATTCTGGAAAGAGTACAGAGAAGATCAACAAAGGTGATCAGGGGACTGGAGAACGGTTGCAGGAATTGGGTATGTCTAGTCTAGTGAAAAGAAGGACGAGGGGTGATGTGATACCAGTGTTCCAATATCTCAGGGGTTGCCACAGAGAAGAGTCAGTCAAGCTATTCTCCAAATTATCTGGGCTCAGTTGTAGTCATAAGTCAAGGACTACCTGTATTGCATGCATGGCATGTGTTTATTTACATTTGATTTCTAATTTCCAATTAAGCTCGCACAGGTCCAGACAGGGACAGCCAAAGAGCCAGATGTTTGCTGGGGGCTGTAAAAATACTGCAGGTCTGTTGCAGAGTCTATTAACAGAATCTTGAAAGCTTGAAGCTTCCATTACTCTACTGAAGAACAGAAATCAAAGTGCTGCTGTTCTGTGTATTTTTTTCCCACGCTTCCTCCTTTTGCAGGGCTGAATAATAATTTTCCTCCTCCCATCTTTGTCTCAAGACCAGACCTGAATTCTTCTGCAAAAGGACCGCAGTGGCAAACTGCCCAAGTCCTCCTTGCCTTTAACATGCCTTGTCACAAATTGTCAAATGTCTTTCTACTAATCTGCATCTTCAAAATGGCAATCCCCAAGTTGGTCTCTTGCAGTGAGCAACGAGCGATTTCCCCTTGGTTCAGTTCTTTTATTACTCTTTTGTGTCCTTCTGCTCAATTCGCTTCTCTTGCCTAATTCCAATTTAACTAGGAGAATTTATAAAATTAATTCCAGTATTGAGTGTTCTGTATGGTCTTTTTGCCGCTTAGTTACTCCTATTCAGGAGCAACTTCCAGGGATTCCCTATCCCCATTACTGATGACTGCATGCACATTGATAAAATAATACAGGATACTATGGGGAGAGAGGAGAAGCAAAGTCCCTCTGTTTATGCAGACAATTGCAACAAGGTTTTTTTGTGCAGCGAATGTTGCTGCACAATGGGAAAGGAATGCATCGCAAGAACTGATCATCCAACTGATATATCTGAAGGATGTAGACAATAGAAAAACTGCTATTCCAATGCACTGGTCAACATTTAGACGTCTAGTTGGATTGCGGTCATCTATGTTGCTGAACTACAATTCCCAGCATGCCTCCCATTTGGCCCTGCAGATAAGTATTGCTGGGACCTAAAGTTCGCTGACATTTAGAAGACTACAGATTACCTGCTATGGGGACAAAGGGATTGTGGCTGGACTGAAAGTAGTGTCTTGCTTTGGGTCCCTACGTGCATAATTGTAAACATAAAAGCTGAGGTTCATAGCATGTCATACAGGTAGTCCTCGACTTACAACCACAATGGAGCCCAAATTTTTTATTGCTAAGTGAAACATTTGTTAAATGAATTTTCCCCCTTTTACGACCTTTCCTGCTGCAGTTGTTAAGTGAATCACTGCAGTTGTTAAATTAGTAACACTGTTATTAAGGGAATCTGGCTTCCCCATTGACTTTGCTTGTCAGAAGGTCGCAAAAGGCGATCACGTGACCCCAGGACACTGCAACTGTCATAAATATGAGTCAGTTGCCAAGTATCTGAATTTTCATCACATGATCATGGGGACGCTACAACGGTCGTAAGTGTGAAAAACAGTTATAAGTCACTTTTCTCAGTGCCGTTGTAACTTCAAATGGTCACTAAATTTGTAAGTCGAGGACTACCTATAGCATGCTAAGTCAATGACTGGGCCCCCAGAACACGCTGAGTCCCATTTTAGCTTAGTCTAGGATGCTGCACTCTATTTAGCTTAATCTCTGCTTGGTGTGAGATCCTGAGCCACAGCATCAAAAATCCTATAGCTGCTCTAACTAATCAACTCCACTGTTCAACTGAACCTGCAGGAAGGAAGATTTTGTTCATCAAATCTACCCTTTTTAAACTGAAACCTGTTCAGTCTTGCCTTGCTTTCTACAGTGTTCTTCTTCTATAGCAGACTTTTAAGGATTCCAGAAGACCTATTGTGGATAACTATATAGAAAACTTTGCATTCGGATCTGATAGGGAAGAGGGGTTTTTGAAAATGGTGGTGCATGACTGTAGCCCTTTCTCATTAAAATAGTTGCATCTGCATCCAAACAGAATTTGAAGTACTGCACAGCCCTACTTTCTTACCTCCACTCCAATTTTTCTTCTGGAGGCTAAACATGCCCAGTTTCTTCAATCTGAGGTTTGACTATCATACCTATAAGCCATCTTCACTGTATTTCTCTCATTCTCTCTGGTCTGTAACTTTTAACTGGGTGAAATGGTGCATCAGAGGGCAAAACATTTTCAACCAAGGTACCCCAAATAGGCTGAGTTACAAAATGCGTCAAAAATCTGGGATCCGTGACTCCCATGGAGCTAAACATTGGCAAATTTTATAAAACATTTCACGACATAAACATTATCATAAAGCATTTTATAACCTAATACAGAATGTCACAAAAACATCGCCTCTTTCTCTTGAAAGGAGAAAAAAAATCAGAACAAAAGAATATTTCGTCCAAAATCAAGCTAGTTAGAATATACGTTCTTCCGTATACCTAACAGTGTGGTCGGAGAGCCATCCGGCGTCACAGTTGTCGTAACCATCCTCAAAGGCCTTCTCAAGATGAGCAGGAGAAGCAATGACCGCCGAGTTCTCGTCACAGGCCTTCTGCGCCTCTGAGAAAGTCAAAGTGTAGCGGTTGCTAGCCGCACGGTAGTGAAAAACCACACCTAGGTAGGGTTGAAAAGCGAGAAGACAAGGAATGTGAGTTAGAGGTGTACAGAAGGTCATTAACAGGTAGGGCCAGTTTGGTAGGAGGATTAAAGGCATCAGACTAGAATGTCATGGTTCCGAAAGAGGAAACTCTTCAAAGAACTTTGAGGCATTGTTTACCTTAAAGAATCTTTAATCGAGCAGCATAGCTTCGGTAGTACATAGTTGAAGCCAAAATCTGACTTCCCCTCCCTTCAGCACATAATATCAAAGCACAATTCCCTCCTACAACTAACAGTCATAAATCACATTCTCCAATTAGTTTGAAATGCTGGCTTCCCGCTCAGTTTCCTCTCCCGCCATTCTTTATCAGCTCTTGTTACAATATTGTAAGTCTAATTCCCATCGCATTCCTCCCCTCCCTCCAGCATCATCTAACTCTAAGAGTAAAACAACAGAAAGAAGAAGGCTGCATCTGCATCATTGTCAAAGCAAGAACATCCAATGTTAGCAGCGTTGACATCGAAACCGGGAGACGGTGAGTTCTAGTCTAGATTTGGAAAATAATTCCTGCTGGGTGAATTTGGACCATGACTCTCAGCTCAACTTCCCAAGAAAACTGCAGAGATTTTCCAGGCAGTTGCCAGGAGTAAAACAAACAGTGCTAGAACCAAAGAAATGAAACAAAACAGAGCAGCACTTAATCAATCTTGGCTGACAAAACAGATAGAGGGTGTCTAACTGTTCTTGGCTGATCTCTAAAGCTAAGCGGGGTCAGTCCTGGTTAGTTCTTGGATGGGAGAGCTGTCTGGCTGAATGGGAAATAAAACTCTTGGGAAAAGGCTAGGTCAAACCACTTCTGGGCTGCAGTGTTGCTAAGATATTTGCAATGGAGGCAATCACACACCTCAAGGGCATCTCCTCTCCCTTTAATAAAATATTCTGAAATACAACCTTTGACCACTTCTGTCTGAATTCTTTCTGAAGGATCTCTTGCACACTGATTGAGTGCAGCACAACCTTCTCCCTCCTCCTCCCTTTTTCCTTTCGTGTCATGTCTCTTACTTAAAGAGCTCCATGACAGAGGTTGTCAAATTATTGAACTTCATAAACCACCATGGTCCTTTAATTAGCATATAAGCGAGGCTCAAAGTCTACATGCAATCACAACCAGATTGTTTTCTGTAGTTTTTCATTAATGCACACCCACACACCCCTTTGATATAAAGGCAGGGGAGGAATATGATTAAACGAATAGAAATGAAAAGCTGAGACTGACTTGTTCCTCACGAGGCCCTGTATCAAATTCAGGGGAGGGGGGGGGAAAAGAGAGAGTAAATGACTAATCATTTGGGCCTGCCAACTCCATAAATGTGCGCTGAAGGGATCAGCATTAAATCATGATCAGTCTGGCCACATCTTTTAAGAGGCAGAAACATTTTTAAAAGACTTTGAATGAATTGAGCTGTGGCTCCTGAAAGCTTCGGCCTTGGGAAAAAAATGTTTAATTGAAAAAGTGCTGCCAGATTCTCTCATACACGTAATCCTTGACTTACAACCATTCGTTTAGTGACCATTCGAAGATACAACGGCACTGACAAAAGTGGCCTATGATCATTTTTCATACTTACAACTGTTGCAGCATCCCCATGGTCAGGGGTAGGCAACCTTGGCTCTTTTATGACTTGTGGACTTCAACTCCCAGAATTCCTGAGCCAGCCATGCTGAGGGGAAAGGGAGAGTTTCCAAGCTGAGCCATGCTGGCTCAGGAATTCTGGGAGTTGGAAGTCCACGAGTCATAAAAGCAGGGCTTTTTTTCTCATAGAAAGCCCAGAACGGAGTTCCAGCACCTTTTTTGGATGGAACCTTGTAGGGTAGGCAAGGCGGATTGTATAACATGTGTAAATTCCTGCACCTATTTTTTCTTCAAAAAAAGCACTGCATAAAAGAGACAAGGTTGCCTACCCCTGACCATGGTCAGGTGATTAAAATTAGGAGGCATGGCAACTGGCATGTACTTACGATAGTTGCAGTGTCCCAGGGTCGTGTGATAGCTTTTGTGACCTTCTGATAAGCAAAGGCAATGGGGAAGCCAGATTCACTTAACGACTGTGTTACTAACTTAATAACTGCAGTGATTCACTTAACAACTGTGGCAGGAATTGTGGTAAAATAGAGCAAAACTCACTTAAGAAATGTCTCACTTAGCAACATAAATTTTAGGCTCAATTGTGGCCATAAATGTCTCACTTAGCAACATAAATTTCAGGCTCAATTGTGGCCATAAATTGTGTATATGGCATTAATGCAATGCTTCCCAATTTTCTTCCTTTATTATTCAAAATTGCTTATCAGAAAGTCTTAATCAAACTTCGAGGACCGACTGCAAGGCCTTCCCTTCAGCACCACTGTAACTTTGACCAGAGGCTGAACGAATGGTCGTAACTCAAGGACTACCTGTATTATAAAAACATTATCACTGAATGACCTTTTATGTCATTTCAACAGATTACTGTTGGTAATTTCATCCATTTTCATCTACGTAGGAATCCTTTGGGAGATTTTTGAATGTATTTTAGTACACATGGTAAAATTAAATCAGTTTAAGTCAATTAAAAACACCTGTTGTGTTTGGGTAATGGGCTCCTGTGTCGTTATCCAAGGAAAAAACAATTTTACTCAATTTTAGGTAATTTACACAGGCATGGGAAGCACTGCATAATAGAATCTTGTCGCATCGTCTTTGGTGATTATTTTGCAGTTTTGATCAGTGTTTAGAAGCATGTTTGCTTCCCTTCCATCAGTCACCAAATATTTCTCATATCCTTCTGAGAGACATAAAACAGAGCCCTGCAACTGTCTCTCCCCCCCCTTAGTATATATATTAAGATAGAGATAGAGATAGACAGATAGATAGATAGATAGATAGATAGATAGATAGATAGATAGATAGATAGATAGATAGCTATTGAATGATATCCATAAAAATACGACTCCTGGGCATGTTTATAATATAAATAAAATACGATCACCAGGACAGTTTAGGTATAAAAATATACTTTACTAAAAACCGCCAAGCTTTCGTTGGGGACTCCGAACATCATCAGGGCTAAAAAGCCAGTAAACAACGATGACTCAAATAGGTTTGGCTGACATTTGCACCCGGCTCTTGGACCGCGTCACTGGCCCTGGCCGGTCAATTTGTGTTCCAGATGTTTCTTTGTTACTCTCTTTGCGTTCTATCAACCTTCTATCGTTCTTCTGGATCACTCCTCCTACTGCTCCATTACTAACACCCAAATCTATTAACACCCTTTCATCCTCCTTTCTTCTAATGGCATTAGCTCTCACCTCATTCCCCTTCCTGTTGTCTACTTCGGGGGTGTTTAATTCTCCTCTACCACTGCTGTAAATCTCACTGGGGTTCCAGTTATTTCTTCGTGTTTCTTTTGACTGCGAATCGATGTTTTCCCTCTGTTCTGTGTCCTCTTTTCTTTCCTCCTTATTCCTATGAGTAATGTTTATGCAGACATTATATGTTTGGGCACCCATACACTCATCCCCCACTCTGGCGTTCTCTATGTCCACCATCTTCCGGAACACAAATTGACCGGCCAGGGCCAGTGACACGGTCCAAGAGCCAGGTGCAAATGTCAGCCAAACCTATTTGAGTCATCGTTGTTTACTGGCTTTTTAGCCCTGATGATGTTGGGAGTCCCCAATGAAAGCTCGGCGGTTTTTAGTAAAGTATATTTTTATACCTAAACTCTCCTGGTGATCATATTTTATTTATATTATAGATAGATATATGTAGATAGAGATAGATAGATAGATAGATAGATAGATAGATAGATAGATAGATAGATAGATAGATAGATAGATAGATATATTTTGATATTTAGATATATATAGAGATTGTGATATAAAGATAGAGACAGAGACAGACAGACAGAGAGACTAGACAGACAGACAGACAGGACAGACAGACAAACAGATGTACAGAGCCCTTTTCTTACCTGTGACTTCCAGAGGGACCAAGTCTTGCTCATCATGAATCCCAGTGACAATCTCACAACGATAAAGTCCTGCATCGCTGGCCCGAGCAGACAGAAACAAGAGGGTGGCGTTTTCTCGGTGCTGGGGATATCCGGGCAAGGCGACTCTACCCTCGTAGTTTTTGGAGATCTTCACCACATTATCCTTGGCTACCAGCACGGAGAGATCTTCCGGCTGTCCGGTGGCAGACTGTACTTTGCTCCACTTGATACGGGGGGGATCAGACCATTCACCGGGGTTTGGGGGGATGGAGCCTTGCAAGAGAAACAGGCACGGCAGGGAGACCGATTCTGCCAGCCCGACCCGCACTGGCTGGTGGCTGACTTTGTTGATATGGATCACTTTCCCAGGGTCCTGTGAACCTACAGCAGAAGATGGCCGTGAATTGGAGGAGAAACATGCCTAAATCTGAAATGATTTCTTCCTGAAAGACCAACCTCTCAACCTGATTAACACACGGACCTGGCTGTTTTCACACATAGGTAGTCCTTGACTTAACGACCGTTTATTTAATGACTGTTCAAAGTTACAATGGCAGTGAAAAAAGGGACTTATGACCAGTCCTCAAACTTACGATCGTTACAGGTAGTCCTTGACTTACAACCATTCATTTAGTGACCATTGAAAGCACTTGATTTATGACCATTTTTCACACTTATGACCATTGTAGCCCATGGTCACGTGATCAAAATTCAGATGCTTGGTAACTGGCTTGTAGTTATGACCATTGCAGTATCCTGGGCTCATGTGATCTCCTTTTGCGACCTTCTGACCAGCAAAGTCAATGGGGAAGCCAGATTCACTTTACAACTGTGCTACGACAACTGTATTACAACAATTGGTTGTAAATCGAGAACTACCTGTACAGCATCCTAGCAGTCATGTGATCAAAATTTGGGTGCTAGGCAGCGGGCATATATTTATGACAGTTGTAGCATCCTGGGATCACGTGATCACCATTTGCAACTTTCCCAGGGGACTTCCAACAAGCAAAGTCAATGGGGGAAGCCAGATTTTCTTAACAATGTCGTGATTCATTTAACAATCAGAAAAAGTTCTAAAATAAGGCATGCCTCCCTTAATGATCGCATCACTTAGTCTTGGATGTTCTGGTCCCAACTGTGATTGTTAAGTCAAGGAATACCCATAACTTGTTATTCCCTCCACAAACCAGCTACTTTTATCAGATTATACAACAGGGTAAGACACGGGTCGGCAACCCGCGGCTCCAGAGCCGCATGTGGCTCTTTGAGCCTTCTCCTGCATCTCCCAGCCTCCTCCGCCATTTGCAGAGAGAGAGAGACAGAGAGAGGCACTTGTGCCTTTCTCTCTCTCTCTCTCTCTCTCTCTCTCTCTCTCTCTCTCACTCACTCACACACACACACACACACACACACACACACACACAGAATGGGGGAAGAGGACTGGCAGACCAAGGGCAGGAGAGAGAGCCAGCCCAATAAGAATGTGTGTCAGCTTGTCGTGAAGCCAGCTTGCCAGGTGAGCAGAAAATCGGAGAGAGGGAGGGGGGGAGAGAGGGAAGGAGACAAAGAGAGGGAGGGAGGGATGGAGGGAGAGAGAGAGAGAGAGAGAGAGAAAAAGAGAGAGAGAGAGAACTCATACACAGCAGCCTCTATTTCTTTTTAATTAAACTCTTTAATCAAGCTCCCCCCACCCACCCGTGTGCACTCAGGTTTTGTGGCTCCCAGTGTTTTCTTTTCTCTGGGAAACGGGTCCAAGGGGCTCTTTGAGTGTTTAAGGTTGCCGACCCCTGGGCTAAGACAATGTGCTGAACCACAGAGGAGATAACACCCCTTTTTATCTTAGCCTAGCCTGTTGTACGAACCCAGTGAAAAATTTTCTGCCTCCAAATTCTGCTCAGGACCAGGCAGAAGTTTGAACAAGATCTTTTTGCACTTTCTGTGGTAGTACGTTTCAATTGGAGTCACTCCTCCGAGTTTAATATATCAGTATTTCTTCTTTCCACCCTAAATTTAGTTAAAGACTTAAAATATGTATAAATCAGATCTCTCAGCCTGCTCCCCTGCCACAGATTATGAGTGCACTTTTTCACAGTGATGAAGAACCTGTTTTCCTCTCTCCAGACGGGGCTAGGCGGAAATCAATCATCGCTGCACAGAGGCAGTTATTTGCTCGTCCTTCTGATTGATTTTTCCTCTGCAGCCAACTGGACCCAATTATAGCAAAAGGAGGCAAATGGGAAGGAAAGAGGAAGGGAAGCTGCTCCTCTCGGGGACCTAACTGATGGGTTCTGCTGTCTCAGCAATCCCATTGAGTGTAATGAGTAACAATAATTCTAGCCAAGGAGCTACTTTCAAAGTACAGGTTCACTGACGCTAGAAATCAAGCTAAATGAACTTGATCAAGAATAATAAGTACTGTAATCACTTATTTTTCTAGAGAAATTCTACCTAGAAAAATAGTGTGGAGCAGTGGTTACAGTAAGCGCTTGCCCCTCCCCCCAGCTAAATTCCCAAAGTTCCCTGAAAGTGATCTCTGGCTAGGGTGATCAGTCTTTCCCCTTTCCCCCCAGGAATCTGCTGAGCAGAATGAAAAAAGACGAGTCTTTGTTTTAGACCTGCACAACACTGGCTGAGGCTCCCTCCACCTTATGGCCCTGGAGAATTTACCTCCAAGAGATTGCGATCCTCCGTTAGGGTTACTAGACATCTGGCAAAAGGAACATAAAATATAAAATAATAGGATTGGAAGGGACCTTGGAGGTATTTTGTTGAATCCCCTGCTCAAACAGAAGATCCTATACCAATGATGACAAACCTTTTAGAGACCCAGTGCCCAAATTGTAACCCAAACCTCACTTGTTTATCACGGGGTGCCGGTTGGCGTGGACATGGTGGTCACGGCAGACTGAGTGGGTGGGGCCAGGGTGGCAGGGGCCAGTTCCTCGCCCTCTCTAGGGCACGGCACACGTGCCCACAGAGAGGGCTCTGAGTGCCGCCTCTGGTTCGCCACCACTGTCCTACACCGTTCTCGGCAAATGGCTGCCCAGTCTCTTCTTGAAAACCTCCAGTGATGGAGCACCCACAACTTCTAGAGGCAAATCATTCCATTGATTAATTGTTCTCCCTGTCAAGAAACATCTCCTTAATTCTTGGTTGGATCTTTCTTTAATGATCTTCCACTCGTTACTTCTTCTCCAGCCCTCAGATCAGTGGCAGGATTCAGCCGGTCCGCACCACTTTGGCAGAACTGGTAAGCTAATTTTTTGTTGGCCAGGCCCAGAATGGACTTCCGGAAGCGGCATCCACACAGAGAACCGGTTGTTCACATATTGGAATCCCACCATTGTCTCAGATACTTTCGAGAATAGGTCAACCAACCCGCCTCTTCTCTGTAACAGCCATTCAAGCACCCCTTTTTGTTCTAATCTCCTCTGTCCAACAGGCATAGCCTTGCAATCAAACATTGTCCATTTTCTGAATGTCTTATTTATTTATTTATTTATTTAGTCATCTGCTTCTTTCTTCCTTTCCCTTGTCCATCAACAGACTCGACAGCTTCGATTTATGTTATTCAGCTGATTTTCTGATTCCAGTAATTGGCTTCAATCCAGCCCTTTCAAATCTATAATCACTGTAATCTGCAGATCACATGACATGTCATACGATTCTTTGGTGAAATTTGAAAAGCATTTTGTTGTCAATATTACCGCTAGCATAGAAGATAAGGATTTGTTGGAAAAAATATGATGCTGATAACCTTTATTGTCATTTTTTCCTGTGGGCACAATGGCACGCATTAAAAATGAAATTTAGTTGCTTCCTCTCAAAGTGTACACATACATAACACACATTTAAAAACATACTATATGCAACGTAACCTACACCCTTACATATAAGTAACGTATAAATATTAATCACTGTCCATCTTGAATACATAACGGAAGGAGGAAGCTTGAGAGTTCACAAGGTTAATGCTGTATGGAACAAAACTGTGACTGAATCTGGATGTTCTGCTTCGGATACCACAGAGCCCCCTCCTCCCAGAAGGTAACAAGGAAAACAGGTCGTGAAGAGGATGTGTCGTGTCCCAGATAATCTTACAGACCCTGCTCAAGCTTCTGTGCTATGTCCTGGATGGGAGGGAGGGAGCTGCCAATCATCTTTTCAGCCATCCTCACCACTCTCTGCACTGCCTTCCTGTATGGCGATTGGAAAACCATTCTTTTTGATGCTGGAAAAAGTAATTTCTTATATATATAGCATGTCTATACATACGTTATGTATGTGTACACTTTTTTTTTAAATACATTTTTATTAAAAAAATTGTTTTAAATTTTACAAAAACAAAACAACCCTTCCCCAAACCTCCCCAACCCTCCCATTCCCTCCCCCGACCTTCCCAGAGCTGAATATAGGCTTAATTAAAATTTCATGTATGTGTACACTTTTGAGAGCAGGCAACAGAACTTCATTTTTAATGTGTGCCAGTGTGCCCACAGTAAAAAAAAATGTCAATAAAAGTTATCTTATCTTTGGATAGTTTGGTCAGGAGAAAGAGAGTTAAATGGCCCTTTCCTAATCATTCTCAGAGTATAACTTTAATAATGCAAGTAGTTTCTTAAATTTGGCAAGATTCTATCTATAGGTGAGGAACAATAAAGAAAACTGTTTGGAAGTAACTGCATGTCTTTTCTGGTTTTGGAGCCTGACAACAGTACATCTTTGCCTAAGCATACTTTTTTTTTTTACAGTTTTTCATTGTTCAAACAGTTAGTATGTCCTCCTTTCTCCATGTCCCTCTTTGCCTGCTCAGATATCTGGTAACCATAACCTTCATCAACAAAAATTAGTGTTCCACAATGGATGTAATCATAAACTAAGCAAGTTGGTTGGGTTTGTCCAACATGCTAAGCCTCCAACACACATGCATACATACAATCCTAACCAGGTTTAGGATTGCATCTGTGAAGGTCTCTGCAAGTGTTATGAGATGGTGGCCTCTAAGCTAAACCTGTTTTGCAGTGGAGCTATGAGAATGAAGCAAGAAGACAATATACATGGAACCTACTTCCAGCTAATTTAGTGGATCAATTATTACTAACTGAATTTGGAATAAACACATGTCCATCATCTGACAAAAATGAAATAAATTAAAAAAAAAATCTTAAAGGACAGACTCGATGGATCACTAGGTCTTTTTCTGCTGTCACTTTTCTATGTTTCTATGTCATCTTGAGCATCTTGAAATGAAGCATTAGCCACAAAACAGAGGGACCCAGTTGCAAATGAAGGTTTTTTTTCAGCACTGTGTAGTGCTTTGGTATCCAGAAGAGATGCTTCAAAATAGGTAAGTGTGTGAACACAGCGCCTGTTGGTTG